TTACCTACCTACCACAGATTACTTTTTACCCGAAAGTCAATCTGGAGGTTTTTTAAGAAATGCGCTTAAAACGGCCTAAGTTGAGCACTCTTAAACAAATATATTATTGTATGACATTAAATCACAACAGATCGATATGTTCAACTGGTCAAAACCCATTTTTTACCGTCCGTTTTAGACGAGAACGATTGTTTTGTCTACGCCCGATAAGCTAACACGCTACATACATAAGCTAACACTTAGCGAGTCTGATTCACCGCTCCGCATAAGCCACAACAACACGAAAACATTGGTGAATGCCACAAATTCTCCTAAATCACTCGTACGCACAATTTAAGAACAAATCTGTGCGTACGAACGGTTCTTGCATGAGGCCCATTGTCTTGAACTGCAGCTGGCAGTGTTTAATTTTTCTCCTCTGTTGCCTCTGAGCTTAAAGAAATATCACATTAACCTCTTCTCCACCTGCTGCCATTTCCGTCTGGAGGGGCCTTACGGCTCACAGTGGCTCTCTTGATGAACAGAGCAAGGATTTCTATCACTGGATAGAGTCCAGGATGGTAGGTTGGTGTGGAGGACTGACAACTGTGGCGTCACGTCGGATCTATGCCTTGGAAATACTCACACAACCATCTGCTGTGGGTATGTTAGACTTGCAGGGTTGTAAGAAAACATATGATTTGAATTCGCTCTTATTTGGCCACAACGCTCATAAAACAATGTAGGTTTGAGCATCTCAGACACCATCATCTAAAATTGAGATGGGTGATGCAGGTTCCTCAAAAAGGCCAATCATATTTAGTGACTACATTAAATATTATAAAATATAGTTAATGGCAGTTCAGCAGTCCTTTGTGGCATTGCTGCTGTGATGATGAAACATTTGTAATATGTTTGGCCAAAAGGATCATCCACAAAAACCAATATGATCAGGTTTTATCACAGTGTATATAAATAAAAGCTTTGCAAGCGTCTGAAAGACGTTCAACTTGACAGTAATTTAAATATTTGGTGCTTCAGCCTCAAACACTTGCACCACTCAGTCTGAATGCCATGAACGGTACATTTTATTGACTGAATTCTGAGGTGAACTTGTCAGATCTTGTCAGACATTTGTTTGTTCTGTGTGTTGAACATGTTTCCAGTTGTCTACATAAGACGTGTGTGTGTGTGTGTTTTTCTGTCCCGGCAGGCTGTGGTGGAATGAGCAGTGTGTGTGTGTTGAAGAGGAAAGCAGTGCTCTGGCAGGATTCATTCAGCCCCCACCATAGAAGTACATCTCCCAGCATGCCTGTGGTGCTGAACAGCGGAGGACATGCCCCACCAACTGGACAGACCCCTCAGGCCACACCCCCCATCCAGCAGGTAATTTCCACCGCTCCTATTTCAAAATGAAGTGTCATCCACTACAACATATATGCATTTATTACCATTGAATTTATAATAATTAAAAATTTCAAATGCATTTAGAGACTTTATTGAAAAGCAGTTTTTAAATCTTTTAATGCGAGTCCTGTTGGATTTGTAGTGCCTCCCTGAGGCCAACAGGTCAAACAGATGGTGTCCTGGGAGGCTTTGATACTTTAGGATGACCAAGGCTCTGTTGAAATACTGGGGGCTGAYGACCTCTTTCAAGGGCTGGAATGGACAGCCAGTCACTTTTTGTCCCATGGCTAGCCCTCTGCTTTCTTGTCTGCTGCAGTACACCAAAATACTTTCAATTGAAGAATGGTACCCAAGAATGTGACACTAGCCGTGTTTCCTTCCAATTTTAATTCGAAATTTGAGCAAATTTTTTTTATTTCGCAAAAAGGAAAAACGAAGCCATGCAATCAAATGTGTTTCCATCAACTGGCTTGAAGCGAATCAATTACGTCAGACGCATGCGTGTAGTAAACAGGAAGTAAAAGTTGCACTCGCAGGGTTCCCACATCTCAGGACAATGGAGAGAAGATATCAGGAACGTGTTGCTACTATTAGGAAAATTAATTATTCTGTCATGTCAACTAGTTCTGGTGATGTTACATGCTGTCTGGAGACGTAGAGAAAGAAATGCAATTCTCTTCACGATAATAACTGAGAATACGCGGGAGGAGGGTCCAGTTGCCAGTCGCTGTTGCAGTCGCTCTGGTATCTCTACCTGTTTCGGACAGCAAGTACAGCTGATCAACCGTGTGAGGTAAAAGTTTGATACATCAGAAAAACCTCTTTCGACAAACCCAAAAACCACCTCAAGTGAGCGTTTCGACTTTTTTGCAAATTAGAGGAAGTTTTTTTTCGAATCATGCCATTTCCATTCACCTCTTCTGATGTGATACTTCAAAATGTGCATTAAAAAAACGCTGATGGAAACACGGCTACTGTTACCCTGTCCATACTAGGGTTGGGTTGAGTTACGTTCTGCTGCTCTCGTAGTCTCTCCATTGTCACCAAACTTCATTCAACTTTTGCCTCTTTATTTTCTGTTTCCTGTAGATTTTTTTGGCATTTGTCAAATAACTTTGGGCCGCAGTCAGAAAGTAGGTCGGGGGGTTTATGTTTTTTCAGCTTGAGAAGGATGAGACTGGCAGCAAATTGAACTTCTTTTTTTTTTATCAATGAGTCTACCGTGTTTCCTTCTGCCTKCTGTTGCAAAGCGCATCAAATAGGACATTCATGTTCAGACAAAAAAGTGGTGTATTTTATTTATCATAACTCAGATTTTATTTACCTGAATAATTGATTTAAACAGAGTCTCAGAGAAGGTGTATCTTTCTGGCTAGAGAGATTTAAATAGGTCACCTGACTAAGTTCCATAGGGTTAATACACTGTTTTTTACACACTGGCACCATATTTCAATATGGAGGTATACCACAGTACTGTCATACCGTCCAAGCCTAGCCCACATGACCACCATTTGTAAACAATGAAACAGAGTCTGTACTGTTCTTCCTAAAGTTGATGATTAGTTATTTGGACTTTTTTGTGTTCAGTATTAAATTAATACCTGAACACAAGCTCACCAGCATCTTGACGTCCTCCCTATGGGCTGACCCATCACTCCCTGAAACTGCCAATCCCTGATATTAGACCCACCCGCTGTTGTCCTCCCCAAACTTAGATGGAGTTTGGATGAATGAGCAGGTGTACAGGGACTTGGCACACATCCCTGTGGTGAGCACTATTCAGGTTTTTTTTTTTAATCCAGGTGCAGTTGTGTGTGAAGCCCTGGCCAGACAGCTTGTTGATCAGAATACTGGCTGTGATTGTAGGACTGTAGTCTGTGAAAAGCATCCCGTGGCCCTGGTTGAACTCTGTGGAGGCTGCTTTGTAGCTTCTTAAGCACCAGTTTCTGGAAGCGCTTCATGATTACAGGTGTGAGGTGTGCAGCAGCCTGTAATCATTTAAGACCATCACTGGTTGATTTCTTAGGAACAGGGATGATGAGGGTTGAGTTTAAGTAAGGTGAAACGACGGCTCGTGTCAGGGAGGGGTGGAAGATGTGGGTAAAGACAGAGGTGAGCATGGGTTTTCAGTACTTTCTCCAGTATTCTATCAGGACCAGGAGCCTCCCCTGGCTTCATTGATACAACCGAAGGTAGCAGCAATGAGCTAAAGGTAGTGCTTTTTCCAACAGCATCCCGTCAACACAAATATCTCTGACCAGCAAAATAAAACATTTGGATGTAAAAACTGCAGTTTTAGTTTCAAAATGTAAATAGTAGCTACTGTAAGAAAATACGTGTTCAATAGACTGAAGTCAAGTCAATATAAAAACCACCACTGTTAAATAAAATGATTTGTAGAAGGAATAAAACCATACAAACCAGAATTCTGGAACTGAGTGAGGATTTATTGCCACCGGAGCTGACAAGAGACCACACTGGCCAAAAGCCAGGAAGTACATATATTTATACATGATTCTTCAATGCCTGCGTTCGCCCCCTACTGACCTACGGCTGAATCACAGGCATTCAGACAAAAGTCTCATCTAATGTTATTATAACGTTTTAATTATGTGTTGTTTATAATTCGGTCGTGTAACTAATCTATATCAATCTAAACATAATAGATTAAACATTGTCAACAATATAGTGTTGTGCTTTTAACATCAGTACTAACCTCTAATAAATATAAATTTCTTCACTATGGCCACAGCAGTATCACACATTTGACTGGTGAAAWTAAACAAAGATCCTGAGCCTGAGCTCACAGATTTAGTAACAATTGGCTTCCCTGTAAATAAAATCTAGAATTACCACACTTGAACATATTTTCACTGAAGAGTCACTGATATAATAAACACAGGAAGATCAATGAGAAACACTGAGCAAAGAACAGCAGCTTCTTTGCTCAGTGTTTGCTGATTAACAAAATGCCTGAAAACAAAACTTTGCACATTATGTTCYTTTAAATATAAACGCCAGAGGGTGGCTAAAGGCAACTATATAACAAAATAGGATTTTCTTCACTGAAGTCAGGAATTTATGATGCAGCAAAGCGTTATGCTTAAAAAGTCTTTACTCAGCAAAATGACTGGCTGTGGTCGTCACACCTTTGAATCTTTAATTTAAATATACATGCTGTTTTTGTCCGGTATTTCAAGATAAACAGAACAGAGGAGACTGTCCTCAGTAATAGGATGAATAAATTGATAGCTTCTTTTTTTTTCTAGTTAACTACAAGATGTGGAAAAAGCACTTATTTAATGTATTAAGCGTCTTAATTTAATGTTTTACTTGTGTAAAAAAAAAAGCTTTTTAATTCACACATGAGGTAAATTATTCAGGACTAAAATTCTACATTAATATTGTGTTTGTTTAGGAAAGCTGTTAATTAATGTGACTGATAGCCAGGCACACCACCTGACTGCTTTTATTGTGTTAGAAAATTAAAAGTGTGCTTTCTGCTTAACTTTAATTTAGGGCTGGAGGATATGGCTAAAATTTATATCACGATATAACTCCTAATTTAGGTTGATACATCATTTCAGTATTAATATGAATATTTACTGTAAACACAAACCTGATGTCATTTAAGATAAATTTAATTAWATTCTGATTAATTAGAATAAAAAGAGCAATCTCAAATTTACTTTGACTAGTCATAATTTAATTGTTTATCAGAAATATGTTTCAAATAGTCAGTAATTTATTCCAGATATCTTGAATTAGAGCCTTCATACGGCTTAATGGTAAATCTGACATTATACTATTCAGAATGTAATCCAATATCTCAAATAGGTATTTTACGTAATTAATCTTAATTAACTATTTCTAGTCATAAACCAGTTTCAGATATGTGGATAAATGTGTTGAAGCCGATGCAGCTTTTAATTTC